CGCCTCCGATGGCTTAGTCACGTATTGCGTTAGCCTGCCCATCGACTATCTTTGCATGCTCTCTTTGAACGTGCCCGGGAAGGCTGGAAGAAACGGTGAGGCGGTCAAACCATGAAATGGGCTAGAGGCATGAAGAAGCTGGCTTCGGCTTTGGCTTTGGTTGGTGCAGCCCGCCTTGCAGGTTGGGGCCCAAGGGATGAGAATTTTCGTTGGTTAGAGACGCTGAGAGACATGGCCTAGAATAGAAGTCAGTGGTGCGAATGCTGTACGGTCTGCCTGTCAAAATCCTGTGCCCCGTAAAAATAACAAACAACACAAAAAATATCAAAAAGTGTAAGGTGAAACATACGCAAAAATGTTATCACCCCAGTTATCTTCTATTTTCCCGTATTTAACTGTTTTACCCTTTTTCACTTAGCTCTTATCCCCGATTCACCTATCCCCTATTATTGTTATCGTTAATATTGTTATGGCGTTGGCACCATGCTTGTTCACAAGCCGGTGTATAATATATAATACTCCATCTCCTTAGGTTAGAATTAATGAAGTTTTTGTATTACCATAGAAATGAACTATGGCCGCTTTGGGACATGGTTTTGAATCATATAGGCTAATGACTTTGTAGAATTCTTGACTTGGGTAACGGATTCATGCATCGTAGGCATGTATATCGAACCGTTTGCAATAACCTCAGGCCTGATCCAAAGTTTTTGTCATTACCCTTCTATGTCTGGGTACATTTTGTAAAAGAACCTTTCACCTGCCATTCAGCAAAACAACAGTTAATACCCTCAAAGAATCGAAAAGCTGCGCAACAAATAAAGCATCTGAATACAACAACCCCTGGTTATTGTAAAGCTACGGTTGATACAGTAAAAATGCACGGTTAATGATCCTAAAAACTGCACTGGACTAAACCAAACTAATGTGATGATTGTTCAAATTGTTGTTCGGCAGATTTGGAGTTTTTATGTCGATTGTGAAAAGTTCAGTAAACTCGGTAGGATTCAAAACCACGCATCACACCGCCTACGCTTTTGCACAGCGCACGCTCTACTAGCTGAGCTACGAGGCTACATCGATAGCACTGATCTTTTTTATATTTGTAGGCGGCGTCCACGCGTGGGTTCGAATCCCATCAAAGCTACTGAAGTTTTCACAATTGAGATATACAAATCGAACTTATTTGTTTATATGCTTGATTGCGTAGATAAATAGCCACTGCGCGTAATACAGTTCGAATTTGTGTTCACGTGCTCCATTTCGGATGGCATTTTAGTTCGGCTGAGGTCCATTTATGAGGACTACAGCTGGTTCGAATTGCTATGACTATTGTTGAACACCACAGATCAGCACAAAACATTTGTGAATCTCAGTGTACTTTATTGCAGACTGCCGGGAAAAAGAACAGAGTAGCATGTAGACTGATAACATCCAGACAGTGCATATTGATCCATTCATTAGGCTCAAAACGATCAATAGTAAAATAAGTAGGCCCCATGACCCAACGACATACGCTACTCAAGGACGCGAAAAGAATGATGAAAGGTAGTGAGTGAGTGTTTAAATGAAAAAAGACAGAGAGGATTAGATAGATCTGTCGTCGTCCAAGAGGGACAATATTTCTGCCAATAAAGGAAAACTGCATAGGGCTTGCCGTTGCAGCTTGAAGTAATACTTACAATTTTGTACCCTATGTCCAATATGAAATAATTAGGTTAGAACGTAGACTGAGTGATTTATTTTGTCAGTTTTCCAACTTGCTTACTTGTTTCCTCAAATTATTAGAAAAACCCTAATTTAAAGAAACCTGCTTTTGTTCAAGAGGTACATTCAAAAGACTTCACGTCAAATCAGGATGTATTACCAAATTTGAGGTGGATAAACGTAATTGACTATAAAATGCACTATCGTGCTTGGCACAACTCAGTGACAACAGACTTTTAGCTGCTGAGCAATTCTGGAATGTTGGATTTAAGTGTTTTTATCATAAATCCACTAAAGAGGTTTTCCTATCCTATCATCTTTCAGTTACACTTCTTGTCTTGTAAACATCCTCTACGCAACTTTGGACTGAAATCAAAAAGAAACCTTGATCAGAACCGCAATATTTGTGAGGTAAAATAAAAGGTTTTCTAGGCTTACAAATATCGATTTAATTGTAAGAAAACTTTCGAATGGCGATAGTACGAATTAGGTAGTGCTACCTACTTTTCATGAGAAAATAAAGTTTCGTGTTTGAGTAGACAGATGATAATTAATGTGTTCAAAGATAAAGGTGTAACTTTTCATGGCTTCATATATAAAATCCTATCGCCTTTATTTAAAACCGGGGTTCTCTACTCAATTTTTCACTGCACTGGTTTAAATTCTCAAAATCCATGGCGTACGATGAAACAACACTTCAATTATACCGAAGGTGGTGAAAATTGTTTTACCAAGAAAATCATTGTACATATGTTTCGTCGTCAATAAGTAAAACTGTCAAAAATATCTTGAAAATAAATAAATCATTACAGCCTTCCATAACACAATAATATGCGACAAACGAATATTCGTTTGAAAAATCATCATCGTACAGCAAAATGCCGTGAAGCGAACTGCACTGGCCGCTACCAAACTCACAATGCATACAAAGTTAGTGGTAAAATTTAAGGTGGACAGGGGTTGGATTTATTTTGAGGAAGGGAGAAGAAGATGAGCCACTATGGTCAACACACAGAGTACCCAATCGAACTCTGCATACATACCGTTTCAAGCATTCTGACCTGATAAGAAACGACAACAAGAACGCTACTACTGCCGGTTCGCTGCCATATCCTTCAGTGTCTCCAACCAACTAGTTGTGGAGTCTTTCGGACCCCAACCTGGAAGGCGAGAGACACCTACTCTACCTAACGGTTCTCTGCATTTCTTCATGCCTCGTCTCCACGTCATCTGTTGACCTCCACGTGGTTTCCTCCAGCCCGGATTAGCTACAGCGAATAAAGCGCGGTGCAGTAGACGATGGCTGGACGAACGTAATACGTGTCCTAGCCACCGAAGCCTAGTAATCTGAATTCGGTGTGCTAGCAGGTTTATGCCTGACAGACTCCCAAACACACGACGGCTTACCTCCACGTTACTAACCCGTTCGCTCCATCCAACATGGGCTAAACTGCGTTTGAACAATACGTTGTGTTTGCGCTTCACTGACTGACCATGTACAACACTTTGACTCAATGATTCATTCAAAACAGTACGTAACCCGCAGTAACTCTTTAGAACCACTTTTACTTCAACTATTTTTCACTTTTTATTTGTTTACACGTTAGGGTAAAACTTGACATCTGAGTGGTTTCAAACAGCTTTTGATGGGTTATTTACTACAGCTTCATGGAATCTTATGTACCACTGTAAAATGGCTTGGACTGTTTTTTACTATAAAAATGATGATATGATATAATTCGATAACGGGACCGAATATCAAGTGTTGCATGATTATACTTTGGAAGGGGGCTCATGTCCAACAGCGAAGTTGTTTCAAGTCAGAGCATAGCTCATGAAACCCACGGTTTTAATAACCTGTAGCGCGTTGAACATAACTTCATGTCTTTGATTCTACAGTTTACAAAAAGCAGGAAGGCTTATAATCATTTTAATGCAAACCACTAAGTGATGAAATACCTAGCAGGTGAACACGTCTCGCGGATTCACTGTTCATTAACAATACTCAATTTACCTGTGGGTTGTGATGAAATACAAGACGCCCTAGTAGAAGCGTGGCATTAGGTACAGATATAAAATGTGACATTTTGTTACCTAGAATACCATGTCAAACACAGAGGATTACGGTACCTATAGACACTCATATTTGTGATAACTTTAAAAAGAAAAGGAAATTGTGAAAAATTAATTTTCAGCAGTCTTACAGATCGTGAGAGAAAGTTATTTACGGTTAGCCAACAAATAGCTGTTCGCACACTATAAACAAAGTCTAACTATAAACCTTAGTTGAAGTTGTGTTCTACTTTAAAGAGAAGAAACTTACATAACAAATCTTCAAATTAATAAATGAAATATGATGTGTCGTTCGATATCATTGAAAATTTACTACTGAAAAATAAAAGCCCACATTATTTGCGCTCGCCACCCGTGAATCAGGTAAATACAACCCTTATTTCTAGGGCTACTAAAAATCACGTGTTTTTTGCAACTTCTCGATAGCTTTTAGCTTCAAAACAGAACTATAAAACTTACGTTGATTTGATTGGCAAACAGCGCAAACCGTTAACGGCGGTGTTTCATAAGTTATTGCACATTCTTTCACTAAGGACTTTTGAGCTTCAAATTGCTCAATACTTTTCAACACGTAATCAGGTAATTTTGTAGTCCAAAGGTCGTGAACAACAAAGCATCCTGAATGAGCTGGTGCAANGGTGCAAGCCAGGCTTGGTGTTTATCCGCAAACCGAGTTACTCGAAATCGGGAAACTGAGGTGGCTGCCTTGTTTTCATCCTCGTTGGGATCCACGGCGGAAACCGTTTGAATGCCATTTTCCTGCATCTCCTTAAGAGGTGTGCGTATTGATTTCCTTGAGACCCGCCTACGATGATCCGCATCAGATTTTTGGCTTTTGTATTTTTTCTTCACCAGTCGTTTCGGAGAGCGATTTTCTGTGGAATTCCCTTTAGTTTCTGTATGCGCGTCAACTTGGGGGCCACTAACTGGTTGGGTATCCACCGAGTTGGAGATAGTATTGCTGGGTAAAGACGGTCTTTCATCCTGGTTTATGCGTTCATGTCTGATACTCAGAAGCACAAATCCCGATTTTGTACAACCTTTCATGCTGTTAACAATATCGTTACTGGTCTCCGATGTCCTCTCGAAAGAGCCTCTGCGTATGCACTGATGAAGATCGTCCATTGTGAAAGTTTGCGCCGGAGCCATGGAATTTCTCTCGTAAAATGCATCTTCACTATCTGAATTGAAGCATTCGGTAATATTCTTCTGTGATGTGTATGGATATAAAACTAACTGTTCAGATGGGCACCCCATCGTTACACTTGGATTTCGGTTCAAAGTGTCAGAACCAAAGTTTTCGGCACGCGGAGTTACGTGAAGTGCTATTCCTTTATCTTCGTGGATCTGAGCTTCAACCGGTATTATGTAGGTACACATGTCAGTGTGATTTGGAAAATTGGTTGGATACGACATACTGGATGTTGGAGGATAAGCGGGAGGGACATCTTGTGGAGGGGAATAAGGCTGGTATGTTACATTGGAATGAGTACTTTGTTTGTCTCTATTGAGTGCCTGTTTTTCAAGCTGAAGGTGAATTAATTGTTGAAGAAGGAGCAGTTGCAGCTGTCCTGTGGTATCTTGATCGAAAGCATGATTTTCAGCAGTATTTGATGGAGGAATTAAAAGACCAGAGTGTGCATCCACATCCTCTGCTTCATGAACAGGATATCCCATACCAGCATGACTGGTGGATTGAGGAAAGAAGAACCCATGGCAAAGGGGTTGATGGTGTATCTGAGGATGCATTGGTTGAGACTGTCGTAAACAACCGTCTGATTCTGGCAGTGTCAAAGGTAGGTCTGTTGGCGTCAACGGAATGAATAAAACCTGGTTATCTGGTTTCAAAAAGTTGCTTGAATACTCCAAAGGGTACGCGTTGAAGGAAGTGAGTTGAGATTGAGTCAGAGTACCATTCATCGCAGAATTTGGGTTGTTCTCTTCAATAACATCACGGATCGATTGTTGATTATCGTCTTTTCCGCTGGAATGGCTATTTTCAGGATTAAGCGAATAACTCATCGCCGAAAACCAGCCACTTATATACCCGCCAGTGATTATCAAGGTCGTTGCTTATGGGTCTTCGGTATATTGAAACACAGTTATCTCAGATGGAAATCCGAATTTCCAAATAAATTTTATTATTGTGGAAAGGATTCTGTTTCTGATGTTATCCGAACGCAAAGGATTATTCAAGTGGGATTTTCTATTATGTTATTCTTTTCTGGCTAGAGCGCGAGTAGGTTTCATCTCGGTTTATCTTACCAACTTACCTAACCGAGTACAAGCTACGGGTGCAAACTTACATCGCAAAAGCAAAACCTAAAGCAGGTATTGAATTTTTTCTACACTAAGTCCTGGAGCGTAACGAACACATAACCCGAGATTCAAGCGGATGCAAGAAAGGCCACCTGTGTAGGTACTAGGTTATCGGTACCCCGGGCTAATACGTATAGGTCGCAAACGTACGT